CCGCGGCCGTGGGGATCTCCAAACAGGTTTGATTATATCGAGCTACATACTTGCGCAACGACTCTTTCTCCCCCTGCCTCATGGCCATCAGTGTCAAATATGTCTTCTCCTGCGCCACAGCGCTCGCGTATTGGGTCATCAGCTTCTCCGCGAAATCGTCGAAGTCCTTGATCGATCCATGAGGGAGCTGTTGGAACCAATCGAGCGCATCTCCTCTCAAGGTCGATAAGAATGCCCTGCAGCTAACAGAATCAGAATAACCATGTAACACAGCCAAGTTCTCAAATGCCCTTACGTGCCTCGACGGGTCAGTAGTCCCATCGAACACCAAACTCATGTCTCTGAAATTTGCGAGTAATGGTGCAGCCAGTATGTCCCTCGAGAACGGGTGTCCTCGAGCACGTCTCTTAGGTCGGCCATCCATCTTAGCTTGCATCTCCCTCACCTGCTCCGCGAGTCTTTCCACCTCCCGATCTCGCAGAGCTCCATCTCCTCCATAGCTAGACACGTCCTCATCCACCATCGTTGGTCCAGAAGCCACTCGCGAAAGGCCTTGAGTGACTTGCTGAACCACTTGTGCCGCCACGATCGCCACCATCTGCTGCATCTCCTGCCTGGTCATCACCACCTGCTGGCCGGGGCGTAGCTCCTCCATCGACGGCGGTGCTGCTCCCTGCACCACCGCTCCTTGCAACGGCGTTAGGATCGCCGCTCCTTGAGTTGTACGGGTCTCCTGGGCCCGGCTTGAGCCTACGTCAGCCTCTGGTTGCACCGGCGTGACTCCTACACCTTGGGGAACGGGCGTCGGAGTCACCAGTGTACGTGAAGGTCCAGAGAAGCCCAGGGGAGGGCCTTCTCCAAACGGCCTCGTCATCGTCCACGCATCGTCGAACGATGCTTGCAAATCTCTCCTAGGAATTCCGTCCGCCATAGCCGTCGAGCTTCAGCAATCTCAGCACACCACTTTTCGAACGAAAGTCCCACAGACGGCGCCAAATGGTAACGCAAAACACTCCGACCGGCTTGAAATCATTTCGCCTTCCTTTTCCTCGCCGGTAGAACGCCGCTCACCTGCACAGAACTCTCACACCGGAGGGGTTTTCCAGTGAAGAGCCTCCGATGCTTAAGTCAGTATACGTTTGTTCAATTTTCCAAAGTAAAGAATGGATAAATCGTAAGTCACAAGAAAAGACCCATTCATATATATATAGGAGTGAGATACCTGCCCTAGGAGCTGCCCGAATTTGGTGAGTTGTCCTGCCCGTACTGCCCGTCCGTACACACACAGTCTGTGTGTGTCAGAAGCGTCAGAGGTGGTTATCACCACTATTGCTCTGCACTAATGTACTCTCGCCACGTGTCCCTCTGAGCAGAGGGAGATTATTCTCTGTACATTCTGTTAGGATCTTCCAACGTCACCCACGCGCTTTCTCGCGTTCAAGCCACGCTCTCGACCGCTCTTCACCTGTTGAGTGCTCGATCTGATCGAGCCCCCCGTCGCTAGGTCGATCCACGACCAGTTCTGTTATTCTGCTCGATCTCTTCCCTTTTGGTCGATTATCTTTCGACCAATGCGGTTTTCTCTATCTCGAGCTTGCCCGACCAATATGGTAGACCAGTCTATTCTTTAGCTATATAGTATCCCATATCACTATGAAAATATACTAATGCTAAAACATAAATTCTTGACAAAAATTATAGGAAAACCTGAGCTTCCACAAAGGCAAGCTCCTCTGAAACAGTCGATAACGAATACACCAGCAAATCAAATCATAATGATGCAAGTACAATATCGATTGACCAAAAAGATAAAAAGAAGAAGTACAAAACACATAATACTATAAAATTGTATAAATTACCTTATGCCACATTACTTTTTTAAGGGCTTGTAAGGACCCTTCAAATGTAGACTGCATCGAGGTCCCCTTCTATCTAAATAGACGGGGAATCGCCTCTAGCGTGGACCGTTTGCCCAGAGAAGGCACACGCTCGTACAACCAAGCCTACACACATAGACATGATTTGAAAAGTAAACAAGCTCACCATTTCATATTATTGTATTAAGAAATTCAAACACACATATACATACCATCATCCCAACAACACATCCATCAAAGTAGGATCGGTCTCTCGATCCACCATGGTGAACAAGCTCGGCAACCAGGAATTTATGAGTAGCATCTCGCCATGCGTACTCAGAAATTCGACTAACATCCTCTACGTAAGGGTAAAGAAACCTGGGGATGGAATAACTCGAAAAAGGGAACAAAATGCAACTAAAAACAAACAAACTATACATCCTGATGAAGTCGTCTACACGACCTTCATCAATAGCAAACTTTTCTAACAACTCTACAACATGGTTTCTTCTCAACAGTTTATTACCTACTTGACCCCAGCCGTCGAATAAGGCTTTCGACTCTAAATTAAGGTCTAAGTCTACGCTTAGACCGCCCTGTCGAAGCCCCATCGTTACACAAAACTCGACAGGGTCAAAATTAAGAGACACATTATCACCTACCACAAAGGCACTCACATCTGCCTTGTATGTGCTAATTAAGGCCTCTAATCTACTATGTAACACCGCTATATCAGGCATATTTAGAAAAAAATAAAACGGACTCTTTTGAAGAGCCTGCTTGTGCCGGTCAGAAAGCACAACAACTGTCCTATCCATTATATCTCTAAAGAACGAAGGGGCACATCGACATCTTAATTCTGTGTCCTATCACAAACAAATAAACCAAAAAAAAAATTTCAAACAACAGAAACAAAATAACACCATTTCAACCAAACCAAACAGCACCATTTCAACCAAACCAACAACACCATTTCAACCAAACCAACAGCACCATTAAAGAACAAAATAACAACACAATTAAAGAATAAAATAGCAACACAGTCACTAAATAATTAATACAAAATTAATAAAATTAATAAAATTCAGAACATGCTTAACTAATTGAACCCTAATGAATACAAATTAGGAAGATGCTTAACTAATTTAGCCCTAATTCATATAAACCCTAGAAAGGCAAAGAGCCTTAATTTATCAATAAAATACTTAATTGTTGAAATAAAATCAAATTCAAAGTTCATTAGCATCAACCAAATCCCAAATTTTGAAAATTCTCGAATAAAAAAAAATATCCAAATTTTTGAAAATAATCTCCAAATTTTGAATTCAAGAAAAAATTCAAAATTGTTAAAAAAAATCCTCAAAATCTTACCTTGCTTACTGTTATAGACCCTAATTTCGAATTAATGGAGATTGGTAAAAAAAAACCCTAATTACCCCTAAATTGAAAAAAACCCTAAAATTAGGAACAAAGCCCAAAAAATCAGAAATTACATTTGAGCTTGGTAATGCCTTCGTGGGTGTCGAAGAGGACGGATTGCATGGAGATTTCTTTTTGGACCCGGCCATTTCTTCAAAGAGATGCGAACGGCGAGTGACAGAGAGATAGAGAGCGGGCGATGGTGATGAACGAGAGAGAGAGAGAGAGAGAGAGAGAGCAGATTTCAATGGTAGATAGAGAGAGAGAAGAGAACGGTGAGAGAAAGAGAAAGACTTCAAAATGAATTCAGGAAAAAAATAAATGAATAATAAAAAGCCTAACTTATATATGGGGAGTGAAATGGAAAGAGAAAATTAGGGGTAGGGAGTGCAGAGGAAAAAAAATTAGAGGGGGGACTGAATTGGAAGTTGAAAGTGGGAGGTGGGATTTATCTTGAAATTTCCGTTGATTTTTTGGTCTTGTTATGATCATGTATTGATTTATTCATCTTTTAAGTGTGATATGCCGAAACCTGAAATCTGCTTGGACCGGTGACTGATAACCTTCGACCACTTGAATGTAGTTGATAACCTGCAACACACACTCCGACATTCAAGTCACTAATTAGAAAGAGGAAGAAGATGATAAGTGTATCTAGAGTATTTAGAGAGCAGAGAGTCATTCCATTGTACCTTATCCCTTTTATATAGGGGGAGTTCTGTAAGCACCATCTATTTATACTTTAGAAAATCGTTAATTTTCGCAAGTAATTTCGAAAACTTTCCAAAAACATTTAAAATTTATAGCTTTTCTTAGGGCACTTATTAAAACTTCATTTTCTTTTCTCTTTACTTAGAGCATCTCCAATGGGAACTGTAGACAAAGAAAAATTAATTATGTAGACACCGTTTTTATATTATTTCCTCCAATGCTTTATTTTACCGGCCATGTTATGCTGACATGTCGATAACATCGTTAAGCGTACTGTCTGCATGTAGAAAGTATGTTCAACAGGACACATCATCAAAATATCAGGGGGAACGATTAAAAAATGGGAATAAACCGCCAATATTATTTATTTTATTTTTTGTAGATAAAAATCATCATTTTAGATTTGAAACAATTAATTTAGATGTTGCAAATAATTACACTTTCAACATTTTAAAAACTAAACTACTTTACTGTTTATTTTATTTTGTGGAGATAAAAGCCATTTTTTTTTCCAAATGACCTTTTGTTGGTGTATTGATATGTTTTATGCTTCAAATATTTCTTAAAAAAAAAAAACTAAGTGTTACATATATTTCGTTGATATGTTTTATCCAATGAATTTAGTTAGTCTTTTAAAATCTAATTTATCATTTAATTTCGTTTATTAGTCTTCTAAAAACTACTTTATTATTTTATTTTGTATATTTTAAAATAAATATATGTAAGAATGAAAGTATTCATTGGAGATGGAAATCAGCAGTTGTTATTCAATATGTAGATATTGCTTTCATATGAAATAACCGTCCAATTGTTTATCTCCATGTGGCACAACATTTTAACTACGTTGAGCCATTGGAGATGGTCTTTTAAGATTGGAGTGAGACAAGATGTTCTCTCTCTCCGATAAGAAAAAACCCCAATTTCCCTAAACTAAAAAATCTGCAGATATGTTCGCCTCCTCTCCAGCGGGACTCCGCCTCCCGCACTCTCGCCTGGCTCTAGGCGGCCTGTTCAGATCGGCTTTTCGCGGTGAGCTTCGACCTCCCTATCCGTCTTCATGTGGATTTCTTCCGGCGTGGTTGCCATGGCAGGCGGAAGTTGGAGGGAGTTGTCTTGCCGGCGTAGAGTTGGGCTGGGGTCGGCGCTGTTTTTAGGCGCCGTTGTAAGGTCGGCGCGGCGGCTCTTCCTGGATTTGCTGTTCCTGGGGCTGGAACAGAGGTTCTTCCGACGGGCGTGGCTTTGAGCTGCGACTGATGGATGTTGTGGTGGGGGAGGGCAGTGGCGTGGGTTTCCTGGGGCTTCAGTGGTGTTCAACTGGCTGGTTTTGTGTCCGTCGGCTCTGGTCGAGTTAGCTGTCGGTAGAGGGAGTTTCTCGATCTGCTTGGGCCGTGGGCCGTGGAACTGTCCTTGCTTTGACTGCCTTAGGGTTGGTTCGAGTGACGATGTTTCGGAGTTGGCCCGTTGGAGAGGAGGGCTTTAGTTTAGTTTATTGTTTTCCCTTTGGGAAAGTGTTGTGTGTTTAGTTTAGTTTGTCTGGCTCGGGATGGATTCCCTCATAGGAGACTTCTTTTCTTTTGGGTTTAGTGTGAAATGCAAAGGTGCTAAATATTACCAGTGGGCAATCGATTGTAATCTTTTAGAGGTTTTAATATTATCTATCGATTGACAAAAAGAAATAAAATACTTACTAAAATTGCTTCTATTTGAAATTTAACTTAAGCCGCTAACTTATTAAATACTTTATGGAAACTCACTTCCTAAATCTCATGCTCAAACTTTTCAAACTTAACTCATGCATAATCATAAAACCATAACATAAAGTCTCAAACGTTTTCATGCATAATTCAAAACCAAATCTAAAGGTTTGATAACAACTAAACATTCGAGTCTCGAAATAATCTCAAGCATAGTTCTAAAAGTTCATAAAAAACTTCAAAAGCATATTAAAATCATAGACCATCCTCGTCATCGTATCCGGTACCAATCCTATCAACCTGAAAGGTGAGAAACAATAGGAGTGAACAACCACTACCGAGTAAGGAAACATACTACGCAATACACAATATAATAACAAATTCCATAATATAAGCATAAAACATGAATAACTAAAGGCACTGCTGGTCCCAACGGAAGGGTACTGCCCAACTGTCGGAAGTACCGTCTCAAATTACTCACACAACATACCTCAACCATAATCTGTGTGACTGTAAACAAGATAGACGCAATATGGAATCCCCACCTCGATATGCAAATGTGATGATTGATGGAATGCTCAAGGTTGGGGGCTCGACTCCTCGAAATCTACATATCTGGGAATTTGTTTAATTAATTATTTAATTGTTGGAATAAATTCTTGATTGGTTCATTTTATTTAACTTCTTGAATTAACTTTTCTTGACTTGATTAATTAGCTTAGCTAGTTAATCTCTCTGAATGCAAAAACTTGTCTAAAGTTTCGGAAAAACATAATTCTTAACTCGCTAAAGGCTCATCATAAAGAAATATCTAAAACTCAGCTAAAACTAACTTAGGCTCGGCTTAAAAATACTAAGGTTCGAATCAAAAGGAAAACAGATCAACGTGGCTCAGTCCGACTCGCTGGTGGTTCAGTCAGGTGCGGCTCGGTCGCTGCTGGGCTTGGTCAAGTCGCTGGTGGCTCTCCCAGGCATGCTGGCTACTGCTGGGGACATTGTCTGGTCGCTGGGCACGCACGCGGATGGTGACGGGTCGCTGCTGGACGACACTGCAGTTGTTTGCATACGAGAGCTCGCATGAGAACGCCTGGGATCGCTGCGGGTCACTGGCAACACACTGCGGGTTTTCCGGCAACGCTGGGAACCCGTAGCTGAACACTGCGGATCTCTGCAGCAACATGGGCGTGTTTGCGGGTCGTCTGTGGGCGTTTTGGTTGTGCGTGACTTCGCTACTGGTCTCGGCTGGTTACGCCCAGGGCCTGCGGCCGGCTGAGGCTTTTCCGGTGTCACCAGGGATTTCGACCAAGTAAAATAAGGTCTTTAAAGCTCCTCTCTATGGTTTTAAGGTTCTTGGGTTTTTTCCTCTAAAATTCTAAATTTCAAGGATCTAAAACCAAACTAAAAGCAATTTATACCAAGGCATCTAACATAAATTTTTAATCCTCAAATCATGACAAGTCTAAACCATAATTTAAGCCTCAGAATTCATCAAAACCGCAAGTTCAAGGATCAAAATAACATGCATCAAAAACTTGGATTTTCTCTTTTCTTGAATTTTTCTTTAATTATTTTTAAACCTTAAATCTTAATTTTTCTTATTTTTTAATTCATAAAACTCGACATAAAATAAGGGGAACATGGCTGGTTTACCGTTCTTCTGGAAAAAGAAAGAACAAATGATCGGGGTCTCGGTTTAGACTCGACGTGCAAGGGTCTCGGGCGTACGGCTGCTAGGCTTGGATGGGGCTGCTGCTTCCTCACTGCTGGTGGGCTTCTCGCATGTTGCTGCCGGGCTTGGACGACGCTGCTGGGATGAACTTGCTCATGGTGATGTTGCGCATATCCTTGCCGTGTAGCACGCTGCTTGCTGCTTGCTCGCGGTGGTGCAAGCATGCTCACGGTGCTGCTGGGGAGGAAGCTTCACCGAGATTGCGGCCGAGAGATGATGAGGAGGGGAAAAATGTCGGTGGGAGTAGGAAGAGTTTTTGCATGAGAAAAATAAAAGGGCCGATGGACTTGGTTTGAGGCTATATATAGGAGTCTTGTTGATGGGATAACTAGTTTAATATAGCTTAGGATTTATTTCTTTGTTGGGATCTCTTTGCTTGGTCAAGAAGAAGTTTTTGAGGTGGGAAACTCTTACATGAGTCTAAGGGGGGCCGAGAATTATAAATTAACTGCTTAGGAAAAATTATTTTGTTTTCTTTTCCTGCTTAGGACTTAGCCAATATAATTAATTAATTAAAAAATTATTGATTAGGAAAAATTAAATAGACGAAGACGTCTACTTAATTTTATTTGATTATGAAAATTAAATAGACGAGGACATCTACTTAATTTTATTTGATTAGGAAAATTAAATAGACGAGAACATCTACTTAACTTTTATTTTTTACTAAAAGAATTTGTCGAGCTAAAAACCAATGCAAAAATGAACTAAGCTCTTAATAAAGAAACGAGGCGCTACAAGGTCCTTGGTGCCCAAGACTTGTTCTTGCCTGGGGCTACCCAACTACTCGAGATTAATATGCCCGTGGTTGCCCTACTGCCCAAGGTTAATTCTTATCTGCTTTATATCCATCCTTGTCCTTATTATATTTATCCTTATCATGATTGTGTTCATACTTGCTCATGTTTCCGTCCCTTCTTATTTAGGCGTCCTTTTGAATGCTAGTAGGTCTTTTAAATATCTAGCTCAGGTGCACTCTAGCATCTATCTCACGTTAAATATGTCAGTTACACTATGGCGAGATTGAGATGTTTAGCTAGTTATCCCCATGTCTTCTTATTTTACCTAATCTAGGTTAATCTTAGCTATTTGAGTCATAACCCTAATTTAGGCAAGCTTTCCATCTTGTTCTCTAGCTCACTCTGACCACGTAGATCCCTCTAAGTGTAACCAAAATAAATAGACTGATCATCTTCATAGCTCTTGGTATGATTCAGACGACCTGGCTAACCTTTGAGTCGGTCGACCTACTTCACTTCAAAGTGTCACATAAATGATTTGACCATCTTCTCTTATGCATATTACGGGCCAATCTAAATTAGTGTCAACCAATCCAAATTAGTTACCAAATCTACTTCAATTAATATCATGCACTACTAGAGTGAGACTGACTATTGTTTTTTTTCTTTCTGTTTTCGTTTGGTACCTTGTACACTGTTGACGTTTTCAGCCCAACGGGGGTCATGATTATGCACATGTTGGGCATCAGGAATTAATTACCCTCCCATCTGGGTTGTTTTATTAAAAAAAAAATATATATATGTATAATGGACCACCCCTCCCAAGACCACACAAACACACTACTTACCCTTCGGTATCACATCAGGATGTTAGAGTATAATTAAGAACTCGGATTTTAGTTTCTAACAATATCATTTTGAACGAGATTCGTGTTTTAGTCAAGTATGTGTGTTTGCAGTTCATTTATTTATGCGAGCATAAGTTATTTTATTTTACATTACAGATAATATAGTTCAATGTGTCGAATAGAAATATCATATTATTGGTTCCTTGTAAAATATAAGTATTTGTTCACGGCTTAGACAAAATTGAACTATCTGTCGTGAAAGGCTGTAGTGTTATTCTCGAGTTAGTTGATCTTTAACTAAGAAATTACACTGGTACATCTCAGATGTATTGAACGGGCCTACAGAGGAGAAGATTATTTTTTACTGACCAACTAAATAATCTAGACCTCGTTAATTGATGCGTTCTCTCAACCCGTACGACAATAAACGAGCATATGTATTCAACACTTGCTTGATTCATTTACCAAGGGTGACACATATTCTATTAGGTTGACATACTCGATATTTTAGTAAGTGATGTTGTTTAGATGATGTGCCGTTGAGATTGTTTATGATCACTATGTCCAGATCCGTCGGGTTGATAACGTTTATGATGATGAGCTCGGGAAGGTTTATTATGTGAACCCCTGCAGAGCAGATTAGTTTCCGACATAATAATAAAAAACCGAGTGGTACTAGTTTTGGATAAAGATGTTGATTAATTATATTGTCAGAAATTAAATTAATTAACGAAAGTTAGATCTTAAACATGGGAAGTAATTTGATCAATTAAAATCGGGAACGAATTATTTGTAATTCAGAGCTAAATGGGGAGCGCAATAATATTACTCTTCTAAAATGTTCTATTATTAAGTAGGAATAAGGTCTCAACACAAGGTGTGCACACAATGTTTCCTATTCCTATTTGGGAAGCCCACATTTAGCACCTCCTTAGTGTCTCAGTTATAGCCTATAAATACACCAAGTCCCGCACCTCCTCCATACAACATCTTCATTCAACTTTTTAGTCTCCAAAAAAGAGAAAATTTGAGTGTCTTAGATCCTGAGGTTTGGGAGTTCCATTTAGTCGGGCCACCAAGACTAGTCGTATTATGTGAAAAGGATATATAACAGAAGATCATAAGGTCTAATTTTTTGCATCCCAGCGAATATATTCAACCCCAGAGATTGTCCGATCATCAGCAATTTTGGATAGGACAATACTCGACCATCAGTGAGATTATCATTGGAGCCGCAACACACCACCGCAAATAGCCGCTCGCAGCAGCCCCTCGGCAATGCACGGTAACACATGTCCAACAAATTTGCACTGTGCACGACAACGTAACCTGCATGCCTCAGTAGCGCACCAAAGCGTCCTAGTGCGACCCGCGTACCGCAACACGTCTAGCGCCCGCGTTCTGCAGCATGCCAGCGCCTAGCATTCAGCGTGCAGTATACGCCCCATTGCGGGACACCCCACCGTGCACTCTGGCCAGCGCCAAGTCTGACCACGCGATGCACGCCAGCAACCGACTGCAACCCGCAAGTAGACAGCGCAGACCCCACACGAGACCCGACAATCCCGAGGCCAGTCCGACAATCCTTGATGCACGTGACTCAGAATTTCAGATGATCTCCATTAACAAAAAGTAAAAACGTCTCAGAGTCAGCAAATGTTTTAAATCGTAAGTCCTGATCCTAACTATAGATTTAACTGCATTAGGATTTCATTTATTAGATTTGGATGTGTATATTGACGACGTTCCTCACAGAACCCAACAACTGGTATTAGAGCCCAGGTTTAATTCTTCTTTGTGCACTATTCGAATTAGGACTTATTTGCGTACGTGAATTATTTGTGTTCAAGCGCAACACATAGTGGATCAAAACTGAAAATAAATTTATTGTTTTAAGGTGTTCTTGAATCTATTTATTGTGGCCACATGTATGTTTTAATTCATGTATTTAAGGTTGGTGAATGCTTGTAATAATTATTAGCACGGTGGAACACTGCAGAGTTTACTTGCATTACTAGATCATTCATGTACGACCCCTGCATGGGTCATATGCTTAAGTACGTGATTGTTTTTATGTTAATTCAATTTGACTCGATGGACGTGGACGTGGACGAACCCAGTAGATCAAGTTGACGACCGGCTTGTTTCGATGAGACAAAGCGAGCCAGCCGAGAACCTGTGGTTGACGGTGTATGTGGTGTCATGCACACACGGGCAAGTCCACCGGCAGTTTGCTGGCAGGCGTTGGGCATTTTCAAGGCATATGCAACGCGCACTTACAAGGTCAGGTCGACAGTGTTCGGGCAACAGCGGAACAGGTAAGGAGACACGAGACGATGGTATCGGGCATAGACGGGGGTGGTGAGCGTACGACCTAGTCGCAACAGCTCGTGCACGCACCATTTTTTGAGGCCTGGGGCCATGCGCTCGTAGTTCTCCGGGAGTGGCAGCACCCAGCCCTTGTCATGCATGCACTCCTTCACGCGGACATGGGAGAGATTGCTTGCAGTGCTTGCTTGCTGGACAACGGGAAAGGCCACATGCGCCTTATGCGCACGAGTCAGCGTCCCCGACTAAGCATCGGATGTTGTAGCGGTGGCCTCCCGTCGCCCAGTCACGAGTGTTTTTCGGTTATCGAGCGGTCTTCCTTGAGAGTGTTTGTTGCGCCCGGTCACGAGTGTTTTCGGGTGCAAAACCTCCATTTACATCACCAAACCACAATGCGCACGCACGCAGATAGTGCAGACCCCGCACAAGACCCAGCAATCCCGAGGCCAGTCTGACGATCCCCGACGCACGCGACTCAGAATTTCAGATGATCTCTATCAACAGAAATAAGAAACATCTGAGAGTCGGAAAAATTTTTAAACCGTAAGTCTTGATCCTAACTATATATTCCACTGCGTTAGGATTTAATTTTCTAGATTTGGATGTGTGTATCGAAGGCGTTCCTCACAGAACCCAACAACTTGTATCAAAGACCAGGTTTATTTAGTTTTTGTGCACTATTCAAATTAGGAATTATTTGCATACGTGAATTACTTATGTTCAGACGTAGTGATTGGATATATAAGGATCACCGCTAATGTACAAGTTACAAATTTATCTTCAAAATAACCTATGCGCAGCAGATCTATAGGTTAAGGTAGAATACTCACGATTTAATATTTTGCGAACTCTGAAACGTTTCACATTTCCACTGTTGGAGATCGTCTGAACCTCAGAGTCCATTGGTTGCTGGACTAGCCTTGTCGAGATGTCGTGGTGTTGGGTTGTATTAGGAACGTCAACGATGTGCACATTCGAATCTATCGAAAGAAACCCTAATGACGGAATCTATAGTTAGGATTAGGACATTACCATTTAAATTTTTTTTTCGACTTTGAGACGTTTTTGATTTCCTCTATAGGAGATCGTCTGAACTGCAGAGTCCGTTGGTCAGTCGGACTAGGCCTCTTTGGTCGGATTCGGGTCATCGCGACACGAACTGGTCACCAGGGACTTGGGCTCGTCGGGCTCGGGCCGTTTGGACATCGGTTGGCTACTTCGGGGCACAGACCGAGGTCGGGCTGCGCGTCGGGCGCTGGGCTGGCCTCGATGGTCTATAGTTCGGGCGCGGTTCGCGGACAGGCACTTGCAGGAGCTCGCCAACAGCATCGTTTGTCTGCTAGCACCAGCTAACAAGCGCACTGGGAGTAGCGCACTAGCATGCACAGACGGCTGGCGAGACCCTTGGGCGCGTGCGATCTCGGCTTTCCTATGCCGACGAGGACTGGGACGTGGGCGAGGACTTCAGGCAATAGGCGTTAGACGTAGGCTAGCATGCGGACAGAAGCGGCAAGGCGTCGGGCAGCAGCGTGCGACGCGGGATAGAGGCATCGGTGGGAGCAGACCGGGCATCGCTGGGCCTTGGTGGCTGCGTCTGGGTGGCGTGCGGCTGCGGGCGTTAGCTCGCGGCTATGTGCGGCTGGTGGTTTGTGGCGATGGTGTGGTGGCTCATGTCGCCGGATTTTATACAAATGAAAGGCTCGAATAAATTGTGTCTGAAAGCCTTCTAATGTATGACCCAAACACCTACTTCTAATAATCTTGATGGCGCGATCGATCGAAACTCCCAAACTCTCGAATATATGAAGAACACGATTTTCCTCTTCCATTATGAACCTTAAAATCGGTCATCATGCATTAGGGGGAGAGGTTGGGACATGGTTGTATTTATAGGCTATGTTAAGGACTTTAAGGAGGTGCTAAATATGAGCTTATCCTATTAGATTACAGAAACCTAATTATCCTCCATATCCTTTTCTTTCTAGAAGTCCTATTTCTTTTAACCCTAATTACCCTTCTTGAAGACTCCAAAATTTCCTAACCCTGGGGTAATATTCTAGAAGGAATATTTCTCTTCTTAGGGAATTAAATAATAAAGAATAATTATATCCTAATTCCTACATAGCATTAAATAATAAAACATCTCACTAGAGTAATATTATTGCTCTCACCATTTAGCTCCAATTTATTCAATAAATTCGAACCTCCACTTGATTAATAAATATTAATCTAATTGATTGATTTACCATTCCTTTGTTTAAGATATAACGTCTGTCGATTAATTAAATTACTGACAATAAAATGAAATCGACTTCTTATTCATTTTCGAAACTAGTACTACTCAGATCCTTAATCATTATGTCGGATACTCATCCGCCTGCAGGCTTGACATAATATTCATTCATGAGCTTATTTCGAGGACGTCATTAACCCAGCGCACTAGGACATAGTGACCATAAATAATTAATAACAACACATCATATAAACATCATCATTTACCAAAATAGCGAGTATGTCATCCTAACAAAATTGGAATTACCCTTGGTAGATTAAATAAACAAGTAATGAATATATATATGCTCGTTTTATGTTATCTTACAACTTAAGAGTATGCATCAATTACTGAAGATCTTGATTATAACTGCGATCAGTAAATCTTATAATTTTATCCTTCCATAGCCTGTTCAATACTTATCATAAGTACTAGTGTAGTCCATCAGTCAAAGACCAACTGAATCAAGCTTACACTACAGTCTTTTTCAAACATTGGTCTCAATGCCTGTCTAAACTGTGAACAAATATTTTATATTACAAGGAACCGGTATATGATCTTTCTGTTCGATACAACAAACCATATTATCTATAATGTAAGATAATGAGTATGATTGCATAAATAAATAAACTGCAAGCATAAATACTTTGACTAAAACATGATTGCCAGATCAATATGGCATTGTCAATATTTGAAAGCCAAACTTTGACAGCATATCCTAACACGTAGGTCGTGTGCGTGTGGTTGTCGGGAAGCATCGGGTGGCGATCGGTTACTGGGAAGGTTGCGGGTCTCCTTTAAACCTCAATTAAACTTCTGCAGGGAAAGGAGAATGTTGGAAAAGGTGAGTGACTTGATTTGTATGTGGAGTGGGGAGTGGGATAGAGAGCTATTGTGCCATCTTTTGATCTTGTTTCTACTGAGGCCATTTTTAAAATTCTTCTGAGTCATTGTGAGACTAAAGAATAATTAGTGTCGCACTTCAATAAATCTGGAAAGTTCTTTGTCAAATCAGACAATGAGAACATTCTAAAATTTTTAAAGTCAAAGAATGTTGATGCAAAAGTAGGTTCGAGCTATGATTTTTCAAAGAAGATGTCGAGGAGCACCTGGAGACTTCTCATCTACAACAAGATCAATAATTTTATATGGAGGAGCTGGCATGGATTTGTTGCAACAAATGTGAAACTGAAAGCCAAAGGCGGTGGAGAAGACGGAGTATGCAGTAGTTGTGGAGTGGGAGAATAGGACCTCCAGCACATTTTCTTCAGATGTTCTAAAATAGAGAGATGCTGGAAGCTGTTGGGGGTGAAGTGATGGAAGTTTTCTTCTAGGAAGGGGAGTTTCAAGGACTGGTGTGGAGAGGAATGCTGTGTAGATACTTTCACTAACCTCAAAGATAGAATATGGCTTTCAACTTCTCCACTTTGGTGGTTATGGAAGACAAAAAATTCTTGGGTATTTGAAAATACTTGGATAAAGGATGAAAGTGTGGTTGATATTGCCAGATGTGAATGGTTAGCATTTCTCAAGGTGAAGGCAGATGATGAGGTTAGGGAAGTTGTGGCTGATGTTATCAGGACTAAAGTGGATAGTATCAGGGAGGTTGATGGGGAAACTATTAAGTTGTTTGTGAGGGCAACAACTAAGAAGGAGGGCTTGCTAAACTGTGAGTTTGCTGCAATGTTGAATTCTGAATTGGTAATAGACAATGTTGTATCTAGGGATTTCCTTAGAGATTCAGTGGAGGCTTGGTTGGTAGTAATCAGATAAACTATGGAGTCTCTTGTAGAAATGCAATGGGACAGAATGGACTTGGCATGGTTGCAAGAGCGTGGTGAAGATGCTGAATAAGGGGCTGCAAGATGGGATTGCTGGGGATGTTGTGACAACTGATATCTTTTCCTCAACTAGTTCTCTTTCTTCTTGCTGCTTTTCTGTTTAGCTTAGTAATATGGTTGTTTGTTGTAGTTTAGTTGGTGTTCGTAAGCCTTTTTGGTTTGGTAAGGGGCTCATGTGAGTCTCTCTGTTGCATAGTTTCAACTGTTTTGGATACTTTGTGTGTACCCTTTGTAGTATGCGGGTTGTATGAACTTTGTTTGGCTTGATGTGTGGTTATCGTTGAAAAAAAAAACTAATTATACCTTTTTCTTTAAATTAAACTATAGTTAAAAAAAAAATAATCAAAGTCAAATAAAATTCATATATCCAATAATACCCTAAAATAAAAACTGAAACTAAGAGAAATTCCTATGATAGGAACTACTTTTATCAAAGGTGTCAATGAAACTAGGCAAAAATTCTATGGAGCCATCCACCAATTAATGTATTGACACTTGTCCAAAGTGTATTTATTGCAAGACACGTGTCAATACAACTATTGGTGAACAAGTGTGGATGACTCCATAAACCGAGTCATCGGATGACTCCATAGCAAAACTGTGAAACTAGGAATCTAATGTCTCAAAACTAGTACGTACCCCGTGCGAAGCACGGGACAGAGATATTAAATGAGTTATTTTCACACCTTTGTTTGTTTAAGTCTAAAAAATAATAGGGTTATTATCTATTTTCTATCTCTTTTAATCAACGTTAGTCTAAAAAACAATAGGATTATTATAAGTTTTTTTCCACATCTTTTAACCAGCGTTGATTTTTTAGACAGAACATTAAATATGAGTATGTTAGGGCTAGTTTGTAAAATAATTAATATATTATCTCAACTGCTATTCACCGCCCCCCTTTTACTAGTCACTG